GGGCCCGGCGGGTGTTACCCGCCGTCAGAGGCAGGCACCCACCCGTGGCGCCGCAGAGCCACGGCTGGAGGGGGTCAGACCGCTCGCCTTTACCTCCGCCTGGCCACGCGCGCCCCGGGCAGAGCCCGTCCCACGCTTTTAAGGCGCTCGAGGTCAACTCCGCAGCAGCAGAACCGAGGTGACTTACTCAAAATCGGTGGCAGAGCCAGTCACTGGAATCCAGCCCTTACGCTTCGGTCCAGGGGGCACGGTGAACCCGGCGGAAGTTACTTATGTGCTTAAGAATTAAGCGCACAGGCACTCTGTGGAGGATCAGGATCTCATTTCTGCTGGGCTTCAGTTCCTCATCTGCAAGATGAGGATAATAATACTTCCTTTCTCACATCCTACCCTTATCTGTGCTCTCACATAAAAAAAAAAAAAATACGCATAACTTTATGCACGTGAGTAATCTCATTGACTTAAAAGGGACAATTCAGAGATGCAAAGTTAAGCAAGCATGTAAGCATTGGAAAGATCAGGGCCTTGTAATGCGAGCTCTTCACACAGAAATCGTCTGCTACTTACTAAAAGTTTATACTGTACAATCAAATGAGGTCTCCAAAGCTAAGCTGGGCTTCTTTTAGAACAGAAATGGCTAGACTGTACCTGAAGATTTATTTCAGGCCCTCCTTCCCTCAGAGCAGCTCTGCAGACATGTTTCCTCTGTGCTTCCCAAGCTGGGATAATACCTGGGTACACTCAAGATGCAGCAGGTATACCTACTGCTTCTCAATTTTTATTTTTTAAATTTTTCTTACTACCTCTTTACAGATATGTAGAACCCTCCTTTTAGTGCAGCCTATAAGCAGACTTTATGGATCTGGTAGAGTTGAAACCCAGAGCCAAATTTTCCTCTTATTTGTTCCAGCAGGTTTGCACACAGGGAAGTGAGCATAGAATCACATCCCAGCATTAAAAGAAAGAAAGAAAAGGAAAAAAAAAATGCACAAAAAGGTGCTACCATACACTGGGCAGTTAGCACCTTTCTTTGGGAAATCCCAAAGAGCTCTGCCTCAGCAAGACTGGGAAACAGAAGCAGGGAGAGCTTCACCACCCACCCTCTTGAAAAGCGGAAGCTGGTTAACTCAAGGGAACACAGCAACTTTCCACGCATACATGTGTCCGCATATTCTGAAGTAAAAGGATCAACACTCCCAGGAGTGGGTGCTTTCAGGAGCTGCTTTGCTGTTCTCCTGTGCTCTGGTGGCCCCAGGGCCTGCAGGCCAGTGGCTCTGAGCGTATTCCAGCCTACTTGGGGGGACCTGATTTGGCACGTATTTTTAAAAGCAGATTTCACACCATGCAAACCATGATTTCTTATTAAACATTCAGTAAGCGTTTTAACGTCAGAATCCAGTTGCTGGACATGTGTGAGCTGAGCCTGCTGAAGTCAAAGTTTGTGAGATGTTAAGCACCTTCTGCAACTCACTGTGCTTAGGTTTGTTCATAGCTCATAGGAGCTCTCAGGACTTAGAAGATGTTGTGAGGATCCTTTTGTGGCTGACACCCTTGAGAATTACTAGTGGTATAGTCACGGCAGCACTGAGCTCATGGTTGGCAGCCTGCTCTCATGTAGAGCGAGTTTATTGCTGGGATGACAGCAGTGGGTATTCTGAAGAGAGCCCCTCTGTCCCAGTGATGCTGACCAAGGCTAGAGCTACTTCGAGCAGATCTCTTAAGGGATAGTTGCAGATAGACTCTTAGACACTTGCTGAGGAGCCAGATTCTACAATCCTTTTCTTGCAGTATTTCTGCTGACATTACTGGGAATTTTGGGTGAGCCAAAGTGGGTTGTAAAGGATATAAGGTACAGCAGTGTATGGCAAAAAAAAAAAACCCAAGTGGCTTTACAGTTGTTTAATTCATTACCAGCTAAATCTTATCTCAGACAAAATCTACTAAAGAAACTTCTCCATTGCTATCATGTTTATTGTGGGAAGCCTCCAACAGGGTTGCACAGTGAATAGTTTCCTTCAGATTATTTCTTAAATACAAATAGTAATTCTTATTGCAGGAGGTACAATGTTTCTAGTGCCGTGTATTTCCCATTCATTGCTTTCCTACAGCAATCTGACCAACCTCAATCCTCAAACCAGACAGCATGCCACATTTACGCTGCTTCAGTCCATTACCAGGCAGGTGATGATAATTAAACACAAAAATACAACAGAAAAGCTTTGCAAATTGAGAATCAACAAAAAAGTTTTAAGCACAGAGCATGCATATTGTCTATAACTGCTGGCGTGCACCAGGCAGGTGCTCCTCCTGCCTTTCCACCACAAGATTTATGTTGTAGTCCTAATTCTTTAGAGTATGGCCTGGGCACAGCGTTCAGAGGCTCTGCTTGCAGGATTGTGAACTTGTTGGGTGAGTAGTTCTCATTCAGTTTGGAAAATAGAAATTCTGTTCAAAATGAGGATGGTGAAGATTTAAAACCTGAAGAGCAGTAAATTTCCAGAGGTGCAAAAAGGTAATGGATGTTGTTTTGTACGGCCAGAAATCTCCCCCAAATCATGATTTTTAGTATAATACTAAGTGTAGCCAGCTTAGTTTAACACTCCTTATCATACCTAGTCCCCCCACCCCAAGAAACCCCACACAGTGCTATTTTGCTCTCAGGTACTTTGCAGTGCCAGAAGTGCCTAAAAAAATATCATGGACCTCACACTGAACAGTTGATTGGCAGCTATTTGAATATAACGTAGGAAATACAGATCGCTGTTCCCATTCCACAGAATGTCTAATATTTAATAGAACTTCCTTTGTTTATAATCTTTTATCCATTAAACTGTAGTCTCAGATTTTTTAACTTCAGAGAACTCTGTCACCTTTTAGCAAAGCTCTAATGTTTTTACCTCAAAAGCTTCTTGGAGTTTCATGGTTTCCTCTCCTTACAGATCATGGGAAATACCACCTGTGCTACTGACATATATATATAAAAAATATCACCACCAAAATCTTCTTTCCCATCAATCTGTTCATGTCATTTTCCTCTTTGCACTACTGTGCTGACTCCTCAGACACTGTTGCACATATTCAATTACCCACCTCTCTCCTAACTTATCTTACATTGGCTTCCCACCGTTCTTTACTTGATCTCTCCATCATTCTCGTTTCTCATTTCTGTATAAGCATTTCAGGCAATTGCCTCTAGTCTTTTTTCCCATGTAAGTTTTCTTCACTGACTAACCTCCTTGACCTCAACTACCAGTCCCTTGCTCTCTCCAGTCTGTGTATTTTCCACTGATTTCTACCAGTTTTGAGTCACCTGCATACAATTAGAAAGCCCCCCTTGTTGTTTTATATAACTCAGCCTCTCAGTTCTTTCTTTGTGAGCTTCTTTTCTAGAGGCCAGAGAAACTCATAGTGCCTTACGGACTCTACCACAAACAGAAGATAAATAATTTTTGTAATAATGCAAGGAAATGTGGAGGACAGCTGATCAGATATATGAGATTTTAATCTGTATGTAGGTGAAAGAAGAGAAATATTAACTTTGTCAGTGGTGACTTTGTTAAATTCTTTCCATTTTAGGCATAGTAAATGCTAAGAGAGGGTTTTTAGGTATTTTTGTGGGTTTTTTTGTGTTTGGGTTTGGGTTTTTTGTTTGTTTGTTTGTTTGTTTTAAGGCAGAAGAATATTTTACAGTAAGGGAATGTAATAGTCTGAACATGATTGCAGAGATTTTTTGGCATCAAAGACAGGTACATATTGTATGACCAGTGACTGACTAAAGTGGAATTGTGAAGTTGAATGACATTTGTTACTCATCAAGGAGCATCTCAAGTTTATATGTATTTAAAATAAAGTGTTTTTTTTACTGTGAGGGTGTTCAAATACTAGAACAGGTTTACCAGAAAGGTTGTGGAGTCTCCATCTGTAGAGATAGTCAAAACCCAGCCGGAGAATGGTCCTGGGCAACTAGCTGTGGCTGACCCTGCTTGAGCAGGGAGGTTGGACAAGATGCTATCAAAAGCCTGTGATTGAAAAAAGGCAATCATCTGCTCTTCAGAGCTCATTAAATCTACATATAAATTTAAAAAGAGAAATGTCCCATCATGTTAGTTCTATTACTGATTCCTTCCAAACTTGTGAAGTCATACATATAGCTATAGCTGTATTTCAGTTAAAATTTCTCAAGTCATTTTCCTTTTGGAAAAGAGGGGTAAAACTTTTCTATGCATACAAAAGGGGCTGAACTAACAGGGATTATCACATTTCCTTTGTACCATCCATTGCATCT